TAAAAAAAAAAATGATGATCAAAAAATTAATTCAACTTTTATAATTTCTGGGTTGGAGAAGAGAAGAGCATGGATTACTTCCCATTAAATAGCTAATAAGTGATGAATTCTGACCACAAAAAATTATAGCATTTTTTTTTTCGCTACAGATCATGATGATTTTGTGTTTGGTTGTTAATCTCTCTTTTAATCATCAGGTATTTCAATTTTTCAATGTCAAATCAAGAGACAAAAAGGCCAAATATTCTCTCGTTCTTTAAGCCCAAAAATGATAATTCTTCATCATCTGGGGCTTCATCAATCGCAACAAACATTGTTGAAAGTAATCCAGTCATTTCTAATGAGGATCCCAAACGCCCTTCTAAATCTCCATGAGTTGAATTTGATGAAACTTGTCTTGAACGGGATCCTGGATTATGCATTCCTATGTGGCGACATCCTGTTAATCACCGTCATGCAATTAGATGAGCTTATATCAAAATGGGGCGATATCAATCTAAATTGACAGAATATCCACGATTTGAGTTCGGAAAGCAACATCGTCGATTCCAATATGTGTGGTTTCAAAAATTTCACTGGTTAGAATACTCTCCTTCAAAAGATGCAGCTTTTTGTTTTCCATGCTTCAAAAGATGCAGCTTTTTGTTTTCCATGCTATCTCTTCGAATCTACTGAAGCACATCAATCTACATTTACTATTGAAGGCTTTAGATGTTGGAAACGTGTAAATGATAGAACCAAATGTGCATTTTTGTCACATATGGGAAATTCTAACTTAGTGCATCATAACTGGGAAAAATCAGTTGTTGATTTGGTGAATGTAACCAGACATATAAATCAAGTCATTAATCGAGAAACTTCAAAACAAATTTGAAAAAATCGGTTAAGGCTTACAGCAACAATAGAGAGTGTTCGTTGGCTTAGATTGCAAGCTTGTGGTTTAAGAGGTCATGATGAATCTTTAGAATCTCGAAATCGTGGTAACTTCATTGAAATGTTAAACTTTTGGGTAAATGGAATTCTAGTATTGGTGATGTTATCTTAAAGAAGGCTCCAGGAAACGCTAAATATACATCACCAGAGGTTAAAAAAGAAATCTTGCATATTATTGGTAACATAATCAGGAGTAAAATTCGTGAGGAAATTGGGGACTCTAAGTTCTGCATTTTGGTGGATGAGGCAAAAGATGTGTTCAATAAGGAACACATGGCTATAATTTTGAGATTTGTTGACCTCCATGGAATTTTGCGAGAGCGATTTTTCCATATTGTGCATGTTCATGACACCACAGCTGTAACATTGAAGAAAGCAATATGTGATGTCCTCAGTAAATATAACTTAGAAATTAATGACATGCGAGGTCAAGGGTATGATGGTGCTAGCAATATGTGTGGTACATTCAATGGTTTACAAGCGTTGTTTATTAAAGATTGCCTTTATGCATATTATTGTGCATTGTTTTGCTCATCGGCTTCAACTAGCATTAGTTGTGGAGGCTGAAAAAGAAGCATCCATATGGATTTTCTTTTCAAATATAACAACCATTGTTAATTTGGTTACATCTTCTTCCAAGCGTAACACCGAGTTACAATCTTCACAAGCTAATGAAATCGCTTGTTCTATTGCTGCTGGTGAACGCGAAACATGCAAGGGTGCTAATCAGATTGGTACTTTACAACGAGCATGAGCTACTCGATGGAGTTCTCATTTTGACTCTATTTGAAGTTTGATAGATAAGTACAGTGCAACTATTAATGCGCTTGAAAATATTATGGTTGATGGCTCTTCTACTTCAATGCGAGGGGAAGCTAGTGGTTCACTATTGGTGATGAAGTCTTTCGATTTCATTTTCATCCTGCATTTGATGCATAAAATTATGGGTATCACGAATGTTCTTTGTCGTGCTTTGCAACAAAAATCACTTGATATTGTAAGTGCAATGGATTTGGTCGCAACGACAAAAGCACTTCTTTTGACATTGAGAAATGATGCTTTTGATAATCTTCTTTCCTATGTCAAATCATTCTGCATAAAATTGGATGTTGATGTACCAGAAATGAGTGCTCGTACAAAACATTCCAGTCGTTCATGTCTGCAAAATGATACCATCGCTTATGAGCATCACTTTCACTATGATGTGTTTAATGCGGCAATAGATTTTCAATTGGAAGAGTTGAACTCCAGATTCAATGATAAGACTATTAAGCTTCTTGTGCTTAGTTGTGCTTTGGATCCGAAAGATAATTTGAAATGGTTTGACATTGATAAAATTTATACTCTTGCAGAAAAGTATTATTCTGCAGACTTTAGTGAACAAGAAATGCATCATTTGAGGTGCCAACTTCAACAATTTAAGCTCGATGTTGTTTGCCATGAGCAGTTTCAGCAAATGTCCAGTATCTCATAACTGTGTCGAGGACTATCTGAAATGAAAAAGGTGCAGTGCTATAATTTGATTGATAAGTTGATCGGTCTAGTATTAACTTTGCCGGTCTCTATGGCAACCACTGAACGTGCATTTTCTGCTATGAAGCATGTGAAAGTTGTTCTTCGAAATAGAATGGGAGAGGAATTTTTAGCCGATTCTATGCTCATATATATCAAGAGAGAGTTTGATTCAAGTATTGATTCCGATTCTATAATTAATGAGTATTATGTATCAAAGAATCGTAGATCGCAACTTCAGTAGTATGGGTACGTCTCTTATCTTTTATTTAAAATATCACTTTCATCATTAAAATAATATTTGGTTTACTTGTTTTTTTTATTTAACCTTCATTAATTTCATGCAAGATAAAGAACGTGTGGATGAGAAATGAAGAGAACTAAAAGTTGGTTTGGTTGCGATAAAAAGGTACCTTTTTTTAATCATTTATTGTATATATTTTTTCATTTTACAAATATAATTCTAGCCAGGGTAGATTGGAAATCCTGGCTCCGCCCCTGTTTACCAGAAATGAGTGCTCGTTACAAGCATTCCAGTCGTTCATGTCGGCAAAATGATACCATCACTAATGAGCATCACTTTCATTATGATGTGTTTAATGCGGCAATAAATTTTCAATTGGAAGAGTTGAACTCTAGATTCAATAATGAGACTGTGGAGCTTCTTGTGCTTAGTTGTGCTTTGGATCCGACAAATTAAATGGTTTGACATTGATAAGATTTGTACTCTAGCGGAAAAGTATTATATACTGTAGACTTTAGTGAACAAGAAATGTATCATTTTAGGTGCCAACGTCAACATTTTAAGCTCGATGTTGTTTGCCATGAGCAGTTTCAGCAAATGTCCAGTATCTCAGAACTGTGTCGAGGACTATCTGAAATGAAAAAGGTGTTGTGCTATAATTTGATTGATAAGTTGATCCGTCTAGTATTAACTTTATCGGTCTCTACGACAACCACTGAACGTGCATTTTCTGCTATGAAGCATGTGAAAATTGTTCTTCGAAATAGAATGGGGGAGGAATTTTTAGCCGATTCTATGATCAGATATATCGAGAGAGAGTTTGATTCAAGTATTGAATTCGATTCTATAATTGATGAGTATTATGTTTCAAAGAACCGTAGATTGCAACTTCAGTAGTATGAGTACGTCTCTTATCTTTTATTTAAAAAAATTACTTTCATCATTAAAATAATATTTGGTTTAATTTTTTTGTTTTAATTTAACCTTCATTAATTTCATGCAGGATAAAGAATGTGTGGACGAGAAATGAAGAGAACTAAAAGTTTGTTTAGTTACGATAAAAAGGTACCTTTTCTTAATCATTTATTGTATATATTTTTTCATTTTGCAAAAATAATTCTAGCCCGAGTAGATTAGAAATCCTGACTCCGCTCTGTGCGGGAGGCGTGGCGCGCGCCGGGAGCCTGTATGTGCTCGTCCGGACTCAGAAACGTGTCTAGCTTTTTCCTACTCATTCTCAACACACTCTTCTAGAGTTTTAGCATGCTTTATGCATAACTTTAGTTCCTATGAATTGTTCAAGCATTCATCAGAGATATAACGTTTGCTAATCTAATAATATTCGAGTTACTTTAACTCAGTTTTGAGTTTAATAAATTCAAATTCCCCAACATTTCAACTTTAGAATTAATTTCTCATCCTTCTTAAAATAGTTTTCGAGATATTATTCTAAGTCTTTTACCTACAAATATTAGAACCATAAAATCAGTACAAAATTAATTTTTTTTACAACCCCCCACATGCATAAAATCAATATATGAATGCAATATAGAGAGTTCCGGTGAACCGATACTGCATAAGAATAGATAGCTCGTCACTCTGAATCTTTTTCATGAAATACTATTGGATACACTAATTATTTAGTAGCACGATTCTTTGAACTTACCAACCGTTTGTGTGCATCAAGACGTCAATACTCACACAAAAATAGCTCCAACACTTTCGTGTGCTAACATTGTGTCTATTTCGGCTTTTGACCATATCACAGTTTAGTACTTATCCATTTGAAGCAGCTAATTACTTCCCACTTACCAATGTGATTATCCTTTAAGACTATCTCGCCTTACTCTACCCTTAGTTATAGGAATTATAAAAGTCCTCGACTGAACCTCACAACTTAGGCGGATTTTACTTTTGACTCTAGAAATGAGCAGATATTTTTCAAGTGTTTTACGGTACTGTCAAACATAATTTTCCCATTTCAGGATCTCTGATTCTCAAGGTTAGATTATCGCTAAGACTGTTTGTCCAGTCTGGATTTGTTAAGATCATTTTCGTAACCGGTTTATACAATTTATCTTGTTACATAATTTTTTTGTAAACGAATCCATCAGGTTAATCCTTGACTTCACGCATTCATCCTAAAAGAGATATTTTTCTTATAAAATTAAGTCTTCGACGTATATATCAAGACGTAAATATTTTACACTCCCGCAATGCAAAAAAATATCCACCCGATAGCCCGCGCCGACGCTGAGTCTTACCAAAAAAAAAAAAAAAGAAAAAAGTTGCCGGTGAGGAGGGAGAGGAGCTCAGTCCCAAATAAATGAGCTTTCACGCGTTTCAGAATGTGACAGAAATCAGTCATACGTATGTCGTCAGCAGCCAAAAGTTTGATTATTATTTCATCGTCTACTGAAATAAGCAAAATAATTGGAAAAAAATAAAAATAAAAGTTGCCAGTGCCCGCCAATCCCTTACTGACAGCACTCTATCATATACAGTTTTCTTACTTTTCTCCATCTTCAATAACTTAACAAAAATACATTGGTACGAAAATGCCAAAAAACAAATTCTTATCCTTTTTGTTTGTCTCATATTGTACTTGGGGATTTTGATGATGACAGACAGGACAAAAATCATTTTTGATGGTTACTTATAACAGCAAGCTTACGTGGCAGCAGCCCTGTGACAAAGTATCTAGTCTGTGAAAGGGAAGTGGACAAATGAGAAAGAAGGCTGGCAAAATCCAACCAATGTTAATCTTTACTCTGACCTTTTCGAGGCCAAGTAAGTCAGACCTATGAACAAAAAATATTTGTGGCAGAACTCGTGACCCACAAAATCACTGTCGAGGGAAACAACCTCGTACGCCTTATAATTTAAATAAGGGCTCAGAAAACTTAGTTTCCATAGTACACAGGTGTACTTTTTGAGGCAAAATTATATAACAAACCAATGTGATATTATTACACTGGTAGTTGGAAAAAGAAAACAGTTGCACCAATAATCTAAAAACACAAGTGCAGAGTTGTATTCAGCAAGGAAAAGTCAAAATACATTATCTTAAAGTTGAGGGTTATTGGATATGGTTTTGTTGGGGAAAAATGTTTGGACAAATAAAGACAGTGAAAAATTGTTGATTTTTATAAGATGAAATGATGTGATATACAAAGTAATAATTTATTTTAACATGATGAACAAGGTAGAATAATGATTGATAGTTATAAATATGCTAAGGGATTAATAATTAAATTTTATAGACAAATGTATATTAATGGATTAATAATTAAATTGCAAATTGTATAGTGAGCATAGAGGAGGGAAGAAGAGACAACCTGAGATGAAAAAATAATGTACTTTTGGTTGGAGAAAGAAAAAAAGGTTTTTGCTGGAATCCAATCACAACAGTGTCCTTATTTTTCATGATCACAATATCTGCAAAGAGTGATGACTGTTGAGAGAAAAAATGCTACATTCCAAGTGGCAAGTAAGATTAGATTTATACACAAAAGTGCATACATGAAAATTACTAATACATCCCCACAAGACAGGTGCTGGCACCTGCTAGTTACGTTGTCCTACATCTTTTGCGCACATTTATAGAAAACTAGTTGTGTATAAATATATATATATACTTCGTCAAAAATGAAGATACAAAAGATCCACAGTTAATTTGAGAATCAGAAAGATCACCTGAACTAACTTGCATTTGCTTGGCAGAGCTTTTTAATCCCCTTGTCGAGTATCAAGCTGCATATATGATTTTTGATTGGCCGATGATCACAGGGAAAGACAATTTTGCCCATCTGGCAATATTTCAGGCAGTGCACGTGCAATTACATATTTTTGAAGGGCGGGGTTGAACAAAGTGGCTATATGAGAAGATGATGCATTGTTGGCATTGATAGGTGGGGCTCGAACAGTGTGGAACATTGCGAAACGGTTGTTTGTGGAGAATCTCTCCAATTCACGAGCTTCGACTTTGAAGTCAACGAGTGATAAGCTTTTGTCAACTCTGCATCATTACAAGTTTACTATCATTAGCTCAAGAAAATGTGCTACACGAAAGGGTAAAATAGAGCCATCTTTCTTGACATTAGGGCATATAGTTGATGGAGCCCATAAATTGTTGCTTAAAGGTGGACACTTGTATCTTTTGTATCATATGCATTTCTACACTACGTTAGCTAAAATCTAAGCCTTCATGAATCTATATCCTCAGAATAAAGATATGAGCACAAATGAACCAAATATTTACCTTGATAAAGTAGCTTCAACATTTTCTACGCGACCAATGAAGGCTTTTACAATTTCTGAGAATTTGCAGGCTTTTGTTTCCTTTGAAGTTCTTAGCTTCTCCGGTGACCTGCGTGTTATTAACAGGAAAAGTAAGAAGGTTTTCACAACATATACTCATTTTCAAATTTAATTCATTATTATTTTCAGCCTTTTGAAAATGTCAGGAATTACAGTTTGTAAGAGAAGCAGTACACAAAATACAATCAGCTCTTACATGTTATTGGTGTCGGATGCCAACTGACTAGTCAGGCTCAATGCATCTCCTAACTCTAATCTAGCCACCACATATGCCACACTATCACTACTGAGACTAGCATCTGAACAGAGAACAATTACTGGTGTCCGTTGGAAAATCTGCTGCATAAGTTGTGTTGTAGACATAAGCCGTTTTTTTGCTCGAATCACTGGGAGCAATTCTTCTACATTTACAGCTGCATTACTTGCCTGAAAAGAATGGGGGTATAGATGATCACTAACACGATTGATTAAAAGATAACAAACACATTGTATGCCACTAGGTCCTGCCTCACCTCTTCTGGTTTTCTCTTCGAAGCTTGAGCCCATATAGACTCAGCGGTGCTGCAAAAACAGAAAGTATAAGTCTGGTCACTATTGCTTCTTATTAATACGGAGAAAATAAACCCACAATTATTAGTCAATCTTCATGGCCTCCTTGTATAATTACAAGGGTAAGGTCTGCGTACAACTGACCCCCCAGACCCCAACCCAACCTGTTGTTGTTGTTGTTGTTGTATGGGTTAATCACGGAAACTACCCTGGAAGATACTCCTAATTATAAAAGAAACCCATTTATCTTTCAAACTTGCATATATCCCCTTCACATTCATTTTCTTATACTAATTGTACCCTCAGAGATATGTTAGGTAAATTAAACCTCAAGGGGGTATAAGCTGTTATATTTTAGGAGGTATTTATAATTTTCAGAGAACCAAGTGCGTTGTAACTAAACTGCACACGTATAATCTCCTTATTTTTTATTTTGGTACTATCATTCAAGTATTACATAGTCAGTGGGGTGTTCTGATGTGTTTTATTTGTGCATGGTGCTTAACATTGGATAGTGAAAACAAAAATATAAATAAAAAAGGCAAGAGTAATCAATTAGTACATGAGTTAAGGGACCAGTAAATGATCTACAGCAGACCTGATATCATGGAGACTCGATTGTCCGTGATTTACTCCTTCATGCCAGGGTATCATATCAAATTCAGCAAATTTACGTTTCTTTGGCATCGAACGAGCCAGGTTTTGGAAAGTGGGCAAAACACAAGTGGTGCTTAATTTGCTGCTCGCCACAGAGGTGGCAACTGTTGATCGACATAATCCGCTCCATTGGCCAGTGTTAGCCAAATCCACTTGCATAATCAAACTATTATCCTGCAAATTCCCAGGACTCATCTGTTGTGCTGCATTATTTTGAGCTGCTTCATCACGCATTGATAGAATCTTCCCATTGTTCAGTGCCTTGTACTGCTTGAGCCAGGATGGTGCGGTTTGTAAATTCATATGTGACTGATATGCCAAATTAGAAGAGTCATTCATGCTGATCGGACGGTTTTGGCAAAACATATCCACCTCTTGAGAATAGTTCTGATTGTGAGGCATAGACGAAGCTTTTCCAGACAAAACACGGAGTTGTGATGCTGTATATGAATCACTTTTTGCTCTATCTTTCAAATGCAGTGCACTCGACAATAAATTCCTTGCATCGGTAATCGTGTGATCATTATGAATACTAGCGTATTTCGGTGAAAAGTTTTTAACTCCATCAGTTTCATTGATCCTTGTGGACAGCATTTGGTTAGAAGGAGAGTGATTTTGACTCAAAGAATGGCGAAATAGACCAATTTCTCTAGCAGGAAATGAAGGTGCTTCTGTTTTAACCTCCGCTTGATCGGAACCCAGCTCATGTGAGTTAGTGATCAATGAAGCCGATTCTGGAGAATTTAATTCAAAGTAATGCCTTCCCACAAAATCTTGCTCGTACGCTCTACTGTTTAGTGATGTTGTGTTAGTTATCTCAGCCGAGCCCTGAAGAACGGAATTTTCTTTCTCCAGTTGTTGACATTCATGAGGAATAGTACTCTGGTTTTCTGTCCATCGAGAAGGTGGGAATCCTACATTCTGATTCTGTAAAATTGGGACTTCTGAGCCACTAGAGTTGGAAATTTTCATTTCAGAATTTTCATGAAAGACTGCAGCATTATACTCTGGGAATTCAGAAGCCCTCTGACTTCGAACCAAAGGAGCTGAATGCTGACTATTGTAATCACTTGCGATATGATTAGATGGAGGTCTTGCACTTGAAATCCCCTGTAAACATATGTTATATGTTACTAAAACGAAAATCTCTTCAGAAAATCAGAAAAAAATAAAATTAATGACTAAGAAATTAAACCAGAATCATTTTCTATTTTGGAAAACCTGATGTAGCGAAAATTTATGAGAAAGTAAATATTTTACCCACCATCGGCAATGAAGAGGACGAAGAGTATAATTGTGTCAACTGCTGATCTGTGGGCCCCAACGTAAATCCAAACTTCAATGATGTAGGGGAAGTGTAGGGTAAATTTCTTGGAGTTGAAACTTTTGAGCTCAACTGCATTGCAGGTGCTTGATCGTTCGAAGCATTATCCATGTTATGTAGCTCAAATACACTTTTACTGCAAAAGTGATGCCGCATCAGAGGGAAAGATGCAAAGAGATCAAACATGCGCCAATCAGACATAATACGCAAGAAGTATAAGCTTCATAGTGAAAATAAGATGCTATAATTTACTATTCACTTAATGTTCTCAGCCTTGCCACTCTACCAATTACAGGTAGCCAAAAGAAACGGAAAAACATATCATGCTCTAGACAATGAATACCTTGAATCAGACACATTTTCAGCATTAGAAACCGCATCAGGATCCATATTTTCTGCTTTCACTGAATACCCACGATCATTCATCCCATTCACCTGTAAGAAAGGAATTATAAGAAAACCAGTTACAGGATTTTAAGGGAAAGGAAGAATCAACTGATAAAGATTCTCAATAATTAAGCTAATATTCCATCATGTAGTATTCATCAAGTGTGCATCTCAGTTTTAGAAACATCCTGATCAAGGACCACCTAAGGAATTGCCACAACACCAAAGAGATGTAACTATAGAAAACATAGGGTGCATTCAATATTTCAATTTAATGAACTACAAAAGATAAATATTGCAGGTCAGAAGTATATTCTGGTCAACCTGAGTATAGTTTGTAATGCCAGACATGTGATCTGATGTGACCCCTTGAGACCAAAACGCTGCTCGAAATTCATGACCTGCAAAAGAGTGAAATCTAACCGTTCTTAGCAACTATGAGTGGTTTGTTATCACGATACCAAAACTAAAGGACGGAAACACGATTATAATTACTTGCGAAGGTATTGCCAGAATGGATATCATTGGTGCATGAAAATTTGCTATTCTGATGAGATCCATGGTCTGAATGTTCCATGCGTTCACCGGGCCAAGTATTTGGGAAAGCTAAAGATCCTTGAATCAGCTTACTGCCACCTGTGGGTTGATATCCCTCCTCTTGTTTGAGATGAAAATTACTGAAGCTATCAACGTTCTGAATCATATCATGTGGCTTTGAACTTGGAGATGAGGCATTCTGCAAATTTCTATCAACCCAATCACTCTGAAGCTTTTCTCCTTCATTCAATGGTTCTGGATTCTGAAAGCTCAATCCGCTCCACTCTTCTTGTACCCCAGCATCACTGCTCGAAGTCTCGGCCACAGCAGACTGCATCAAAGCACTCCAGCTACCACTTTGCATAGATGGCATCTCAACCGTTTTATCAAATCCTCCTGCACTCATTTTGTTATTCCTGCCGAATGTTGATTCCCAGCTGAAGTCATCTGTATTGTATAGGATCTTCTGTTCCAGTGGATCTAAGGAAGCAGCATTTTTATCCCCTTTCGCAGATTCCAGGGAAGATGCATTTTTCTGCACAGTAAATCCTTGTTGGTGATAATTATTCGATAAAACCACACTATCAGAACCTCCAGTTTGAACTTGCCCCAACAAATAATCCTCTGTATTCGAAACCAACAAACCATCTCGCGTTTGAATCTGTTGGGACGAGAAATTGTATCTTTCACCCGCAAATGAGCTATCAAAGGTGGACTGGTTCTGATTATCCAGGCCTTGGACATAAGAGTAGCCATTCAAATTCTCACCACCTCTTGGAGCATGAATTCTATACGAAGATAAGTCAAACTGTGGAGCAAGATTATGAGTTTGTGAAAGAACTAGTCCACTTGGCCCATTATGCTGTTTCATTTGCATATTGCCCGCCATAAACATTTGTGAAGGATCCAGTACAGGTGTGTTGTTAGCTGCAGGAGGGTACTGAACCCCTGAAGCCTGTTTTACTAAAGATAGCTGGTCTGCATAATTCTGGTTTCTGTTGATATTACTCAACTCTTGAAGGTGTTGTCTCCTCTGCAGTTCCTCCAGTTGCTTGGAAATGACTTGGCGCTGTAACATCTGTACGTCAGTATAGCTTGATTGCTTTGGCTGGGGAAACTGGTCCGCACTTTTTGGTAAATTCTGAAACTTTAACCAACAAAAGCAGAATTAATTCTTCAATCAGTCCGCTTTAGGTGTTACTATATTATATGTTTGCCACCAGATATATCACAACTAATGCAATTGTGATTATTCGAGAAAAGCACCTAGACTGAAATAATTAAAACATGCATAACCAAAAATTGGGGAAGAAAGGAATTTGAAGGCTCCATAGACAAGAAACCCCTAAAAACCTCTCTGCATGTCATCAATCTCTCTGCGAAAACATCAAACCCACAAATAAATCCTCGCTATAACTCACTCCAACCCCACTTCAACATACATGAGAACAACAAACCCGGCAATTACAGATCAGACACCCAAGCAAGTTAACTCAAAGCAACGTACAACCAAGTCAAGCAGCAATTGAGACTGCAACTTCAAGCGTTTCGTGTTATATAATCCCAGGTAAATTAATTGAATGTAGCATTTCCCAATGGGCACTTACTTTTGAGTAATTCATGAAACGGAGATCAAATAGAGCCAACTGTACTTCATCTTAAACTTCTCTCACACCGAATTTCGGTGCAACTTTCTCTTTCTAAACTCAAGGGTGTAGATACAGAGTGTGTATGTATAGGTCCTCCACTGTTCACTGCTTATTCTCTCTCACTAAAGTCATGAGGATGAGGGAGAGAAGGGAGGGGGGTTGGCCTTCTTTATTTCTCATACAAGGACAGCATATAATAAAGTCACTCAGAAAAATAAATTAAAGAACAAACTCTTTTAGAGTAGTTATGTGACTTGGTTCGGGTCCGAGCTTCTGGTTCGGGGTGAGGCTTGGTTCCTTCAAAGCTGAGGAGTGATTGAGTGGTATTGTATGCACGGCGCAGGAGAAACTGCAGCCGTCAGTTGAGATATTTGAAAATGTGATCAACGGTGGATACGGAAGGAAGATGAATTTGATGCACGCGAGTATGGACAATTTTCATAGGTGTGAAAAGGGGAAAAGTGAGGGCTAGGTTACGCCGAGTCACGCTCTAAAGCTAGGCGCGTGGGCAGGTGTGATTTCCTCTTTTTCTTTTTTCGGAAGTGTACTGTGGGCTTTGGAATAGTTTTGATAGTTTGAACTGTGAAGTAGGAAAATTAAACTGTTACCAAAAAAAAAAAGTAGGAAAATTAAAAATGTGACTTATTTAATTGTTCTATCTTTAAATTTTGTTTTGCGGGCTTCCTTTATTTCTTTTCCCGCCACCGTTTTTGGCGGTTAGGCTAATTTGATATTCTTTTAATAAAAATAAATTACAATATATGAAACTTAAAAATTATATAATGATACTATTATAAAATATTATTATTTTTATAAATAAAATTCAATTATAACTAACACCAAACTCAATTAAAAATAATATTATGCAATAACAAATAGCGGTCTCATGATTTTAATATTAAAATTTTATTATTATTTCACTCACATTTCTTATAATATATGATTGTTTCTTTAACTATATTCTATTCTATGCTTCATTGTTATAATTATTCAATTCATCAATCACCAAATATTATCTTTGCAATTTTTTATTTGTTCTTTATTTTTAAACTTTATTGTTTCGTTTTCTCATTTAATCTTCATAATATTTATTTTCAGTTGGGATTATAAGTTCGACATAGAATAAGTTCGTCACTATGTTTTAATTACTAATAAATAAAAATTTTGTAAAATGCTTGAAATTATTAACTAACTTCTCATTTTTCTTCTTATTAGACGAGCTTCAATTTTCATTTTTCTTTCTACCAGATTTCAAAGTTCTATATTTGAATTTACATGATTGATATTTATCTCCTAAAATCTCACTGCAATTCTTTTTAATTGTCCTTCCCTTCGCATCCCTTTCCAATCAAATTCCATGCACAGATTTTTCCAGAAATTCTATGGGCACCATAAGCCATGCCACATTATGAGGTGGCATATTATGTGGCTTTATTATTTATGTTTAAAAATTCCAACTTGGATATTAGGTGGCGCTTCCATAAAAGTAACACAATAATTGTAAAAGAAATAAATAAAATATTTGTAACAGAATCTTACGTTCTCATACAATCGGAGGATTCACCACCCGCGCCTACTCTACAGACGACCGAAGGCTTGAACCAAGAAAACATCTGGCTTTTGCGGCTTTCGTTTGAGCTTCACGATTCGTGCCTACACCACAGACAACCGGCGACAGTCTTCACCCAAAAGGGGAAGGTATGCCATAGCTTCCTCCTAAGAGGGCTGATTATTTGATCAAAGATGCCATATATTAGTATGCAT